TGTAGTGCATTAGCTGATGTCTCAGACACGAGGAATAGAAGAAGGCTTTCCACCTCAGCAAGCGACCTCTCTCGCACAGCAACAATTGAATTTCATGAGGGCCAAGAGCAGGCAAAGAGTTAGGGGGACCTCAGATTCAACCAAGGCTCTTGTGGCCAGCTCAGCAGGGAGGGAAGAAGCCGGCTCAGCAGCCAGGGGAGTAGAGATGCCTAAGGAGGCAGAAGTATCTTGAGCTGAAATCCCAACTAGAGGAATGAGCCCTCCAGAGTCTATAGGCACATCTTCAGAAACAAGAGGAACAGGAGCATCATCATCTTCTTCATTGGACCCCTCGGCCTCTTCCTCAGGGGGTATTGAAAAGTCAAAGTTCAATTCAGGATAAGTCTTTTCAGTTATACCCTGGAAAGAAATCCACCCTTTTGCCCACCTGGTGAGGACGTCATCCTCTAGTTGGGCAATCAGCTCATCCTTTTTCTGGATGTAATGTCTCGCACCTCCAGTGCCTCCCTGGCAGCCCCTAACTCCTCCCTAACCGCATCATTGGCCTCTGCTAGCACCTCGTACTCCCTCTTCATGTTCCTGAAGGAAGCTAGAGCATCAAGGGACTTCCGACTCTCCTCTATCCAGTCATCGGTTTTTGACCGGAGGTCTTCCTTAGTCTTGCTGAGCTCCTCTTGTCTAGACTTGGTAAAGGAAGACTGCTGCTCCACTTGCTCTTGCAACTCCTTCACTTGGACCTTAAGGTCATTATTCTCAAAGGCCAGATCGGCACACTTCATCTCAAAAGCTTTGGAAACATTGGCTGACCCCTCAGGGCTTGGATTCGCTTTAACAAGTTGATTATTTGAATGGCGATTTGAAGACAAGCGTGAAAAAATAGTATAAAAGGAAGAACGTAGGACAACCAAAGGAAAAAGAAAAAATTTGATAAATTAGAATCTCACCGAGGTACAACCATACAGCGCAGTGCAAAACACAGGTTCCCAGGGGTACAGAAGTGGTCGCATCAATGTCAGACTCTGGGATAATAGAGGCAATGGCCTCTGCAGCACACTTCACGTCAGTAATGAAGAAATTCTCAGACTTCGGTAAGACCCCTTTGCCTACCACGAATTCTGTGGAAAGATTGGGAGACCTCTTTGGTTGATACAGAAATAGCACAACCAGGGAGAGTGCGAACAGTCTCCAAGGTCCTCTTAACTTCAGAGGCAGAAGGGAGGACCGGTCTCGCCCAAGAGCATCTTCAGTGGCAGGTCGGGTCCCTTGGGGAAAAGGAGGTCCTGAGGCTGGTGAAGCATGTAGGGGGATGGTGGAGCCTTCTGGACAAAGGTAGAGGAAGTACCTATTTTCTGAACCTTAGCTCGAGTAACTGGGCTCCCACCAGAACTGCCCTCAGCCTTGCGCTTGGTACCACCCTTACTTTTCTTCTTCAATAGCTCTACCTTAGCTTGGAGCATCTCAGGGGTAGGCTTCATCGTAGAAGACCCTGAGAGATTTGACTTAAGCTGGTTAGTCAAAAGGAAAAAGAAAGGGAGGAAAACATGAAACCAAATAAGTGAAAGAAATTACCTTTTACACCCTCAGGTCGAATAAAGGAAAATGGGATTGGAGGAGGGCCGAATCCCAACCTTTCTAATTCCCAAGGCTTAAGGAGCTCAGAGTACCTCTCTGGATTACACTTAGCCAACTTCAGTTTCACCCGTTTGTCCTCGGCGCTGAGTTCACGTCGAATGCCTAAGAAAGGTGGAACACCAAAAATGCAGAGGTTAGGAAAACAACTTATAAATCTTCAAACCACAGTTCAGTCAAGCAAGAACTCACCTAAGTTATCTGGGGCTGACCAGGCTCTAGGAATCCCAAGAGTGTCTATTTTATCAGCAGGGTTGTATTCCCAGTTGACACCCCCAACGAAAAAGAAATTTTTTTTCAGCCTTTATGAGAGCTCGGGAGGGGAGTGATGATCTGCCTAGACGAGGTCCACCTAGAAACATATAGAAAGCCCTCAGTCGAGGTAAGCTTGACATTGAAAAGGTCCATAAGCAAAGAAATGGTAGGAGTCCCAAGCCCATGCTTCTTAAAGAAAACTAAAAGACCCACTAAAACACCCAGAAGTTAGGAGAAAGCTGAGCAGGACAGACATTGAGGTGCTGCAGAACATTTTTGATGAAGGGGTGCATAGGAAAACGAAGGTCATTCTCGAAAGCGGCCATAAAGAAACAAACTCTTTTGTGCACTTGGGCAACGTATAGGGTGAATTTATCCGGACACCAGTGTTGAACACCAGGGGGAAACCAAAACGAGCACTAAGAGCTTCCATGAGAATAAGATCCACCCTACTGGGACCCACAAGCTCAGCATGCCTGAAGGCAGCCCCCATACCCGCTGTACTATCAGGAATCCCAACCTCACTCACCTTGTCCTTACCCTTGTCAACACTAGGAGGTACATGAGAGGAAGATAAGGGGAGTTCCCTGGAGTCCACCTTAGTATCGACAGCCTCAACACCGGAGAAATTGTCAATCTCATCACCTACATCTCCTAAATCAGAATCTCTCTCGGCAGACCTGTCGCCTAGGAGGGAAACAGAGGAGGGAGTTGCTCTAAAGGAGGCAGACATGATTGGCAAAGAGAAAGGCAAATCGAAAGAATTATAAAAAGGAGGAATACTAACTAAACACCCCTAATAACCCTAGAGTCAGCACTGTACCTCCCGACAGTAAGAATTCGCACAATGGAGTTCCAATCCACAAAGCGGGGAAGGGGAGATAGGCAACGATCGCGATTCCAAAAGAAAAAGAACCGAAAAACTCAGAAAAACAATGGCCACCTCGAAGTCGAAGGATCCAGAGTGAAGAAAGGCAACAGAAAGAGAAAGGGGCATAAGAAAGCGTACCTAGACAGGGAAGAAGAGCAATAAACAGCAACCAAAGAACAAAATTGGAGGAGAGGAACAAAGCAGGACTTCGAGTCGAACCCAGAAAGCACAGTCTAGAGCAAAGAATAAGGAATCGCGGGAAGGAAAGCCCAGAAATCACAGAGAGAAAGAGTCGGAGACAAAGGTGAACAGCGTAGAAGATGAACGGTAGTTTTGTTCGTTTTCTTTTAGCTGTTTTGAGCATTTAAGGCTTGACAGACATGAGATGAGGCATGCGCGGGAACCAAGGGAGCCATGATTGCTGCTACCGTCAAAAAACCCCTCCCACGTGCATCTCACATGCAGGCTAAGGTCAGCTAGGCGCAGGTCTGGTCCAAGGTAAAAGCAACTCAGCCCATGCCCAAGCTCGCTTTGGCCAAGGGCTGGGGGGGTAACTAATGATACCTCAAAATAAATCCCAAACGCCAGCTCAGGAGGTCAGCTCAGCCAAGGAGGTCAGCTCATCCCAGGAGGTCAAACTAGACGAACAGAACTCGGAAGAGTAGAGCTGGAGGTCCCTTTGAGATAAGCAAGGGCAATAACAACCAAGGCAACAGCTGAAAAATCACGAGAGCTTCCTAAAAGCGTTAGGAAGCTATAATCAAGGCATCGAATTTCAACCAACCAAAATCTTCTCCTAGAATTAGGGAGAATCTCACGAAGTAAGGGCAAGAATTTTGGCTACGATCCCACTGAATAGGGAACAGCCCTATAAATACTATGTAACGCCCCCAAGGAAAAAGGGAGAACCCTAGAGGCAAAAACTAGTCATTGTACTCTTGCAATCATCATTATTGAAGGACAAGGAGCAAGAGTCTCCATTAAAGAGTGAATTAGCCGAGCTCCCGAGCTGGTGAACCACTATATTTCTACTGTGTTAATTCCCCAACTCCCCGCCAATCTTCAGTATCATTCACTCGAGTCTAGTAGCTCAGATCCCAATAATTCCAATATTATTATTTTCATTTACTCGTCATCACAAATTTGCATCACGTTCAAATACACCATCAAACTATATGTCTGAAATATACAATATCAATTTGATTGTGAAAATAAATAGGGAAAATAACCAATTGAGCCCTCTACTTTTCATGACATAATACCATTGGGTCATATCAATTTTATAGTAGCACAACTAAGTCCTACCTTTTCAACATAATTTCAAAAAAGTCCTAATTCTATTAACATCCCTCTTTTGGGCATTAGATTTTAATTACGAAACTGCCATCATATGAAAAATCATAAAATGAAATAAATACAAAGTAAATAAGAATTAAAAAATAAACAAATAAATCTTTTCACGTAAATCACTAAATGATTGGGTGTCTAAAAAAATTATGGAAAGTTCGAAGAATTATATGAACTATAGTCCATTTCATTAGTAAGATGATTAACAAAAATAAGTAATCCTTATATAATCATATATTTATTTAGAGAGAGCATTAGAGTTTATTTTTGAATATGTTAAAATCAATCAAAGAATTATGACCAAAAGTGTAGTTGTTTAATGAAGAAATTATGAAAAAAAAAGTGTAATTGATGGTTTAAGGAAAAAGGGTAAAATCAGAATAAAGATATAATTGATGAGGTATTGAACTAATTTGGACACTATGAAGAATAGGACTTGATTGTCTGATAGAGCTCAAGGGTTTTTTATTACGAAAAGTAGGACTTATCTAGTATTTTCCCAGGGAAAATATTATAGCACCATAAACAATCTATGAAGCAAGAGAGAAAAAAATATAAAAGTAGCTTAAAGGTACATACCTCCTCACGCAGAAGCCCAGGAACTAGGGCATAAACCTCAAAGCAATCTTTCTGGCATAAAAATGGAACTATTTAAAACTCAGATGAATTAACATAATAATTGTGTAATATTTCAAGTAGGCTGATTCCAAAAGAAACTTACCGTTTCGCGCACATTGATTTTCACCCAATCAGCAGGAGGGCCAACATCAACAACTGTCGCGACCAATCTAGCAAATGAAAAAACAGTTTAGAACTGTATTAAAAGCATTGGAAAGAACACACAAGGGGAGGAGAAACTAAACAAAAAGCTAGTTATGCAAGAAATACATAGAGAACCAAAAATCAGCCTAACATTTAGGGTATTAACACCAGCATTTTGCTCCCAAACAAAATAAAGATTGCTAACCCAAGAAATGGACTGAAACACTCAAACCTACGAAACATGCACATCTTTAAGAGAAGCCATGTCCATGTTCGATGTGAAACACATTCAACACAAAAACATGCTGGACATGGAACAGGTGACAACTTTTTCAACAGAAATTGACAGTGCCAAAAATGGACAAAACACAAAACACAGCAAACACCAAAGATCTGTGCAGGAGAAAACAATAAATACTCTGAAGTTGTGTGCGCGAGAGAGGGAGACAGAGAATTAGGTAGGAGCAACAGCTGCATACTTGACAAATGATGTATATGGTATGCAGCTATACATTTAGAACCCGCATTAATTAATATAGATACCCAACCCATTTATTAATGGGCAAGTCGGGCAGGTTAATAGTTAATGGGTTAAGATTGCCACCTTTAAATATCCAACATTGAAATTTGACAAGACAAATAAAATTTCTAAATTATGTTTACAATAAAATATGGGTGTGCTCCTTGTATGCATGTGCATTAGTTTTTCAAAATTTTCTATCTTGTGGCGAGTCCATGACTCCATGTGATGGGGTGTCCATAACAAGAATCCAAGTTTGTGCAAAATAGGCCCCAACTGCCGCCAACAAAATAGAGCCCCCAAACTAAGGATCAAAATATTGTTTCGGTGTATTGTTTCAATTATCAATAAAACAAAAATGCGACGTGTTTCGGAAATGTTTCGACTCGTTTTGAAAAAAAAATAAAAATTTAAATTATTTTTTTCAATATATTGACCGAAATATACCAAAATATCTTGAAATACCTTGAAACATTTTGAAACAATTGTGCAAATACAATGAAATATAACAAAACATTATGAAACACCACAAAATATTAGAATTTCGATTTTATCAATGATATGTTTCGATCTCCTTGAAAACAAAAACGTATTGGACGTCTTGACCGTTTCGAAACAAAATTTTGATGCTTGCCCCCAAACACTTCCACACAGAGTCATTGCTACCATGCTCATTAAATTGACCAGACAAATAATAGACAATGCAAAAAATTAACCAAACTAAATATCTAAGAAAAGCAAATATATCATCCAGAAAGTATGAGATTTCTTGAGTTTGTAATTAGCAATTAGCTTATGAGGCACATGTGATGCATGTGCAAATTAATATTTGTGCTGAATGTAATAGGATTTTTTTAGTCCCAATGCCTTATACATGAAGAATGAGGGAATGAGAGAGAGGTGGAGGGGAAAGATTGAGATGTGAAGTGGTGGGGAGAGATGGGGAATGTTCAAGGCGGGTATGTGCATGAGTGAGAGAGAGAGAGAGAGAGAGAGATACATTGGCAGTGGCAATTTTAGAGTAATTGGGACTCTAAAGTGGGATAGTGAGGTTGACATAAATAAAATCTTGAGAAGTTGAGATAGATAAGGAGAGTTCACACGTGTATGACAATTTTTTGGGTCTTTCTAAATTCAAACTCATAAAATGAGATTAAATATAGTTGTTTTCAAAAAAATGACCAATATGTTTTTTGGATCCCATTAAGTGGACACCAAATCTCTCCTCTCCTTTTATTAAAGTATAGATAAATAATAACCAAAACAAAAAATATTTACCCAAAATATAAACTCAAAAAAAAACAAAAATAAGAGCCTCATTCGTTATAGCACCAGTAACCTCCAAAACTGAAGAAGGAGACAGAAGAACCAAAGACAGTGCAAAAGCCAAAAACTATTGGCAGGATGAGAAATGGTCAAAAAGGAGCAGAGAAGACATTTGTTTCAGGTATGCAGTAAGGTTGCAATCATAGGAACCACTACATCAGCAAAAATGCAGAAAAATGCTTTCAAAGAGAACTTTGATGGGAAACCACCAAGTAAAATCATCTCCCAGGCTCGATGGCTATGCCAGGAACTACCACAAAGAACACTTAGTCTCATGTGTGAATGTGCGTGGGCTGGTGACCAAGGACACATGTTGAGTCAGAAGCTAGGACCACATGTGGAGTGAAATTATGCATATGAGGACAACTTTGAAGGGCAACCAGGACATGCAAAAGAGGGCAAAAATGTGCTCAGTGCATGAAGGTCCTTCTCTCCTTTACTTTTAAGCCAGGGGGACAGACAAACCTAACTTTGATACACTTTGAATAGGAATTCACACTCCACAGAGATTTCCTGCAAAGTTTTGTCTCCCAAAGACACTGGAAAGTTGGAAACGTAATCTACAAAGAGACCCAACACCAACCACAACATTTGAGGCTTTATTGATCTTGGAGAGATTTAAGACTCAAATTTTCTGCCCAAACTAATTTTCACTTTATTCACAGATAGACAATTATAATTTGAAGGGAGGAAGAAGAAGACATGATCAAGCCTTAACTGCTTAGAAGTTTCAGTTCTTGCAGCTTTAACAGCATGCTCCACTTCACTTGGTCTCTTGTGTTTAAGTGAACCTGTGTCAATAGACCAAATGCAAATTGAGGATCATTCAGTAGCAGATTTTATAGATGCTTCTTAGTTATACTAGCAATGTACGGCATGCATTGCACGTAAATAATTTAAATAATATTTTTTTATTGAATCTATGAAAATATAAATTTTGTACCAATCAATTAATCTATATTTTATTTCTTGTTAAATCTAATCATTAAAAAAAATTAAATATAACATATATTTGATCTTAGAATCTAATTTAATAACCATATGTATATAACAATACAATATAGATTCGTCTTTGCTTCTTCATATAGATATAGACATATATACAAAAAATTTTATGCAAGTATAATACTTATAAAGGAGTCCAAAAGAATTTAGAAGTCAAATGCTACTTATAAAAGAGTTCAAAAGAACTTTAAAGTCAAATTACGTATAAAAACAAAAATTATATGAAGGTTATAAGGATATAATTGATTTTTTAAAATTAGGCTAGTAATACACAACGTATGTTGTGAACATATTTAAATAGTATTTTTTTGTTAATTAAGCCTAGTTATACATTTATACATGTATTATACAGTTATTTGAGTTATTAGAGTTATTATTGTAATTCAAGACCTAAAACTATAAGAATAAGTAGAGTGAATGGCTAGAAACCTAATGTTATATGATAAGAAGAGTTAGTTTTGAAAGAACATGGAAGGAAAAAAGATGACATTAATAAGGATACATGGGGTATGATTGACTTAACATTATTAAATATGGATAAAATAGAAAATCAAAATTTTTTTACATATCCTGACATTTACAAATAGTATAAATAGATAGACAGATACGAAATTACAGACGAAATATGCAGCATCAAATGATTTTTCTTAAATGCTATTTCAAGGACCGCTAGTAAAATTCATTTGTGATATCCATCCGTGAGAAACATCTTTCATTGAGAATACATATGTCATATGCAGATATTTAAATTTTAAAACACTAATATGGAGAGGAGCATACCAATGCTTTTGAGATTCTTTTCACGCTTAGGCATCTGATTCAAGTTCTTGTCCTATCCAACAATTAATATATGAAAAGGGTAAATATTACGTAACTAATAAAAACATGGTTGAACTAAAATAAATATTACAAAAAGTGTAAAAACTTTTGTGAACGGACCTTGATGACTGGCTCACCAACCTCACCGTAACCAAAAAGACGCTGGACATGCCAACCCTGCATTGCACGAGCTGCAGCATCCCTTCGTGCCCTACCTGATCCAGGAGCTTGGTACTCATTTGCCTGCACAAATACCTCAGCATTCATTATTTACATTATCAACAAACACACACACACCCCACACAAGTTCTGGCCAGCGTCCAGTGCTAGTTGAAGGGTTTCTAGAGGTTGATCAATTGAATCTCATCGAAACTCCTACATGTTCTAGTTTGGAACTAATTTCCTGAAGCAACAATAGGAAAGAAAGTAGCTACTCCATCATTGCCAAGTTAGTTTGAGAAACGGTAGCAACTTATCGGGCAGAAGCTTGAGAAAAAAAAGTAGTAGACTGAATTCAAGAATTACTGAACTGGAAAATGATACATCACTTATCTACCATTGAAACCTACTTGAGCAACTTAAGCTGTGGACATGCGGAAACTGCCAAATATATATATATATATATATATATATAGAGAGAGAGAGAGAGAGAGAGTTCCATTTTTTCTTTTTCTGCATTTTTTTCTGTTGGTGGGAAGAGGTGCAAGCACATACATGTGGACCTAAAGAAAGCAGCAGACAAAATGCCATAAAGAAACAAGGAAGACTACAAAACCCCTAGATAACTTACATGGGCCCCAAATACTTTGAGAATTTTTCCCCTTGTGTCACTAATACAAACTTAGAGGGATGGAGTGCTAGAGCATCCAACCCAAAACCAATTGTTGAAGAGGGGAGAAACACCTTCCCTCATGTGTGATTCAGCCTCGGAAGTGGAGCTACCGACCAAACAAACATGAATATCGAAAAATTCAAACGGGTAAGAGACTTGGTCCACTATTCACCTAAGACACAATTCTGATACAATGTTTGAGCATCTAACACACAATCAACTAACAATAAGTGGAAAAACTCCTTAAGCATATAAATCAACCTTGGGTGGTCCTAATTATTTGATGTGAGATATAAGCTCTCTTTGGTGGGAAACGATTGCTTTGGGAGATACTCAAGCTCGCACCACTTGCAAGGTGGGATGGATCCCTTACGACTGATTCATCCCTGGAGGCACACACTTTAAGGATTATTTTCAGCACACAACCCCTTCATACTAAACGGCTCTCAAAATGAATAAAACAATAAGATTGTAACACAAATATAATTCATTCCCATGATATGATGTCCAAGCTTCATCTAGACAATTTCTATTAACACTTGTTTTCTACTTATACATAATGATTACAATAATACAATGTACTCAATATATCAGACATTGCTTTGACATTGTTTTCTACTCACACGTAATGATTACATAATTTAAGACCTAAGCTAAAAATATGGTTGAAAGACCAAACACAGACCACCAGATTGAGGCAGCAGGTTTGCCAAAATGAATCAAGCCATTTCACTACCATATATTCAATGGTTCAGCGGCCAACAAAGCCCAAACTTGCCAATGAACATGAGTTTCACACTCTAGCTGCGTCATCTTCAAGTAAGTTATGAATGTAAAAAGGGGTTACAGTGCGGACTGTGATAAGCTGGTTTGTAAACCATAACATATGAAAATAGAAGCAATACTTTGAGATTATACATCCCAAAGAGAAGAAAAAGAACTGAAAAGATCAGAGGGGGGCTTTACTTGAAAGTCATTGAAACACACAAAACAAAACAACTGGGGCCAAAAATTTAGAAACTTAAATAAAAAACCAAATATCAAACAGCGTAAATTGACAATTAGGGGACACTAGCTATCACATATATCCCATTTCGAATTGTCTGCTAGCCGAAGAACATAGAGTGAGAAAAGATTTCCATTCAGAAAAGGCCATGACTTTTCAAAGTGTCAAGAAGAAAGTTGATGTAGGACGGAAGAAGAAGAAGAAGAAAGAAGATAATAGAAAGAAGTAGAACAGAGAGAGGGGTGGAAGGGATTTACCTCATCCTTGCAAGGAATCAGTCAAGAAACACACAAAATTCTCCACAAAGAAATAAGTTTTTATTATATTACTCTCTCATAAAAATAGTGAGGATTATATTGATATTTGTAGGCTAAGTTCCCTACCAAAATAAAAATTATTCTCCTATTAAAATTTTAAAAGAGTTTTATAATCAAACTCTCAAATCTCTATCCTACTAAAACTCTATAATAATTTCCTAATCAAACTCTAATTAATACTTCTCGTCAAATAAATACTCCCTAACTAATATAATAATAGCAAAATAAATAATAAAATTCAATTTTTTAATTTAAACTCATCCAATCTTTTTTCGATCTCTATCAATTCTTCCCGACTGAAAAAAACTCTTCTTCGAAAACTTGTAAAGGCAGGAGCCACAGGACTCCAAGAGATGTGAAGAAGCTTGTGTTCCAAGAAAATAGCATTGTAAATCCCCATAATAGAAAACAATCTCTTTTATGTGTTACATTCTTCACAATCATGTTCACATACACTATTATAGGAGAAGGAAGCATATAAATCAGTGGAGACAAAATATCAACTCCATCTGTAGTAGTACCCTTTAAAATTCCTTTAATTTCTTTCGTAAGAACATATTTTGAAATCAACATATCAAAAATAATTAATCTATGATGAGGGGAGAACTTTTAGGCTCATCAACGGTATTAATTTCAGTTCATCAGTCAATTGAATTGGAGCTTGTAGTTGTGGAGGAACTTCTTGGGGCAGAGCTTGTTCAACTATTTGTTGACAATCGATAGGTGAATCAAAATCTACCTTGTTCGCGAGGCTCATATTTGGGAGCTTAACTTCAGACATGGCAGCCAACTTGTGTACATCTTCATGTGTATATTTCATTGATGTGTGGAGTGAACCCATTGATGCTTGGAGCGAATCGAGCTTAGCGTCACGGGCTTCAAGTTTGACAAGTAATTTGGCATTGGTGACCATTTTGATTGAAGAAGTAATATGAAAAGTTGTAAAAAAAATTTGATTCAAACTATAATTTTTGAAAATTCTGTGGTTGATTTGTAATTTCAGAAACTTTTAGAGCAAAACTGTAATTTTTGAACTTGGGGGCCCAAAGTGTAATTTCAAAAACTTTAGGGGTCAAATATGTAATTTTAGAAAGGTCTGGAGGAGTGTTTGTGTAATTTCAAAGATTGGGTAAAACGGTGGCAGTTTTGGTAGGGTCAGCTGGATGGGTTAAAGAGCCTGGAGCTGAATTTTTTTTCCAGGCTATGTTAGCGGCAAAAACAATCAAGAAGATTACAACAGATCTCTAGAAACCTAGGAAGCACGGACACTTCATTTTGGGCAGAGTGTCGATGTCAGACACGTCTAGGACACGGACACGCTCGGACACGTTAAAATGAGTGTCCGATTTTTTTATTATTAAATTTTTTTTGGGACACGTGGCCAACACGTTTAGGATACGTTGGGACACGCTGGGAGACACGTTTTGAAACTTATTTTCAATTTTTTTGAGAACTTTTCAGATAATTTTATAATTAGGAGTTATTTTTATAATTTTAAAGGGATATGAGTCACAATCATAATATAAAAGAAGTTATAATAATTACATTGAACATAGGACATGAATATAATATAATTTTGGATATGAATACGAACTTATATACAAATGGAATAGTCTTTTAATATGAAAGTAATGTGAGAAAAAATAGAATTACAAAATTGGAGTTCTTGGAATTTGATGAAAATTAATATTACGAAATGAAATATTTTTAAAGTAAAAGTTGTAGAAGTCATTGATTATTGAACTATGGATGTTAATATTGTATGTGTATTAATATATCTTATATTATACTTTTCATGCAATAATATCATGATGTAAATTTTTAGAATTAGAAAAATAATGAATTAAAAGATTATTATGATAATATTTTTATTTTATCACATGATTTTATATAAATATATATATGTATATATATAAAATAAATATTATTTAATGTATCGCTAACGTGTCCGTGTCCTACTTTTTTGAAAAATTTCGTGTCGGCGTGTCCGTGTCGTGTCGTATCCGTGTCCGTGTCCGTGCTTCTTAGCTAGAAACATAACAACAATTAAGAATGATCGAAGTTGGACTTTGAAACCAAACTGATATAAGACGGAAGAAGAAAAAATAAGATAATAGAAAGAAGTAAAAGAGAGAAGAGGGGTGGAAGGAATTTATCTCATCCTCGCAACGAATCAATCCAAAAACACACAAAATTCTCCATAGAGAAATAAGTTTTTATTATATTAATAGTGGGGATTACATCGATATTTATAGGCTAAGTTCCCTACCAAAATAAAAACTATTCTTCTACTAAAATTTTAAAAAAAATTTATAATCAAACTCTCAAATCCCTCTCCTACTAAAATTGTATAATAATTTCCTAGTCAAACTCTAATTAATACTCCTAGTCAAACAAATATTCCCTAACTAATATAATAATAGTAAAATAAATAATAAAATTCAATTCTTCAATTTAACCTCATCCAATCCTTTTTCGATCTCTATCAATAATATTCCTAGACGTTGAAGGAAACTCCAAAGTAGAACATCCACTAAAGCCAAAACGAACAAAATCCCTCTATTGTGTTTGAAAACATAAAATGTCGGCACTTGGTCAGCAATATGTACAGAGATTCCTCTCAAACCTTCGCCTTAACAGCACGACTACGCCTTATTACTTCCCTCCATTATCCTCGCAGCTTACAATTTGTAAGACACCGGAAAAAAATAAAATTGAATTTTAACTACATATCATTTCAACCACTGGTACTAAAAAAACTTTGTCATATCGTCAATACATATCACATGGTTCCTCTTTCCAGAAAATTGAAAGCCCTGATTAACCACTTAAGCCTGCCTATGAATCGAAACTGTAGAAGCCTAAAATATATCCACAAGTTTTAAATCCTGTCCTCATAGCAAGCATATACAACTCTGAATGCATAGAAGACCCAACTAGCTTAACCTTCATAAAATGAATAAGATCCAAAGGACTAAGCAAACAATGGTTTGCTCTTACCTCATTTTCAAATCCAAAGGACTCAGAAAATTATTAATATAAGCTTGTGCCGTTACCAAATCAGAATTTTACCTCACTTTCGACAACCGAAGACTCAGGCAGGGCAGCAATAGGAAGCTGGAGTTCACCATTTTGCCTCTTATGCCTCTCGTATTCAAGAAGTGCCTTCACAAACAGAAAAATATCAGGAAAGAAAGAAAATGCTTATTAGGGAAGTTAATGCAAACAGAAAAGTAGCAATCCATATGATCAAGCTGATACCATGCAAAATTAGAGAAAGCGTTAAAAGAATCTGAACTACAACATAAATAAAAAGGTAGAGGCAACAATATATGTAAAGTTTCACACTTCATGATCCAAGGCTTAATTTTCAGGATTCCAAGTAAACACATAGCTCACCACTTTTTATCTTGATAGCTTACACACCCTACTATTGAACAGTCACACTACTAAAAAGATAACCAAGGATAAGGATCTGGATCCCAGTGGCATTCCCAATAACATTGCAGCAAATAACCACAATAATCATGCACCAAATTAAATTGAATTGTTCATGTAGGGATCAGTTGAGGACAGAAGCAGCATATTAACAAAAGAAGCTAAAAATGCATTGGTCTAGTGACTTCAACAAATAGGTCAAATATATTAAACTCAACTTTTCATCATCCATATAACAAAAAACTAATACGATGGCCTATGAAATTTCCATATATATGAGTTATCTGGATCGTGGAAATGCAATATGATAATCCTAATGTCTAAGTTATCCTGACCAAAAATCCTCTGGTGCAAAAGCATCCACATTTCACTACTGGGTAGACAAACATAAAATTTATTTTCACTTCAATTTAGCATTTCATGTCGACCAACTATGCCACATGCTAGCACAAGGAAGAAAGTAGATATTTAAGAAGATACTCCATAGGAAATCCTGCCTATGCCATTCAAACTTCCAATTAACCTCTTCAAATGCACATACCAAAAAAAATGATTGGAGAAGCAATGCATTTAAAAGACATGACTAACGAGGAAAGGAAATGGGTAACAATCAGAAAAAAATTAATAAAAAAAAATCTCTGTGTTTGATCATTTAAGGTTTTATCTAAATGACCATAGGCAGTCTACAAAACCAGACTCCTAATAATCTGAAAGATTATTAATCTCGCACAGTGTTAAACAACCATCTATACTAAAAGATTAAGTTGTTAGAGAAGGTATAACTTAAATATTTATACTTTAACACGTCCCCACACGTACAGTTTAGATTTTGGACCTTGTACTTGAAATTTTTTTTTGAACACTAGTGTGGCAACGAGTTTCGAATAGTGGACCTCCTTCTGTGATACTATATTAAACAACCATCTACTATAAAAACTTAAGTTGTTATACTATGTGTAACTTAATTATTTACACTTTAACAAAAAAAAAATATTATACCTAATATTTGTCACCCAATCTCATGTAAAATGCTAGAATTCTTAACAGGACGTAGTAGTTTGGGCCTTTGGGGCATTACCTTCTCGTAGAAAATCCGAAATGTCCAAGAAACAGTTGTGCAGGTCCTGAGAGAGAATGAAGCAAATGAAACCAACTTCAAAAGAAACTTAAGCTAGCAACAGATTTTTGTTTAAATTTATAAATTCAACACCCAAAAATTCCTTTAGCCATTGATCAACACACATAACACTCACTTATACAGTCTGTATGGACTTTGTCTAGATGTCGATTTAATACAGCTTAAAAACTGAAAAGTTTCACAGGTCAAAACAGAGGAGGCTGTGCATATCAGATAGACAACAACTATGAGCATGCAAAGCATTGAGTCTTACTTAGGGGGGTGAAAAGATTCTCCCACTTGCCGCCACAACTTGGATCCAGTCACCTGCAAAACACAAATTATATTAGCAATGTCACAAACATCCACAATCCCAGCCTTGATTGAAACTCTTAAATCATGTGAACGAAATGATAATGCATATTGAATCGTATGCGTGTATCCACTAACCAAAAATCATCAAATGTATAATCAGAACTGACCAAAATATCCCAAGTACAGAATACAGACAAAATTGGGCCTCTTTATAGCTGGTAATTATTCAAATCACATCGATCTTACATGAAATTGTTTTCCTTTTTTTCTTATTTTTTTATTGGGTACTTAATCCAACTTCTATCACAAAAAAGTTCTGACTGGTTTAAAACTTTGAAAATGTAAAATGCAAAGCCTACAAGTGGAAACTACCACATTAGATTTGAAAGAGATATGAGACTTGTTATCTAAAAGGCAAAGCATATGCAAGCTTTTTCTTTCAGATGATTTTGAGCATTCGATACCATCAGAAAAACAATTCTGTGACTATACTTTTATGGAACTTCCTATCAAAAAATACTTTTATGGAACTTCCTACCAAAAAATACTTTTATGGAACTCCATTTAATCATATTTAGACATCTACTCAAATTCAATACCTGCTATATACAACAAAGTGTAGCAAGAAGGTGATGGCCAATAAACTGAAACTACAGTGAGAAACAAGAAAACTAAATAGATTAGAAAAGGGCACGTGCATACCCGATCATAACCACCTAATTTAATTACAGCTCTCCATAGCCTGGCGTCAGTGACAATAGTTAGTCCATTTATAAAACCAGACATAACAATATGCTCCATCAAAAGCAGAGGAACCTTACTTCAAGCAATTGAGTGGATGCCCATAAAACCTGGGGGGTTTAAATTCCATGGCCCTCTCCCTATAGAAACTTTCCAACTCCTTCATGAATGCTGCTTGGTCCTCTGGTGTTCCATCATCATCCTCCGACATCTATATTTCAACAACGACATTGCAATTTAGCAACCTACAGATTCTTCTGGTGTCGTTCAACTTTCCACATTCATTTTTACATCCAAGATTATGAAAATAATATAACATTGACTCTTTCGCTTCAATTCTTTTCTGTGAATACTGCAAGTACCTTTGATTCATTCATGCCATTCTTGAATGTGTCCCCACTTTGAACTTCAGCTTTGGCAGACGAACACTTCACTAGGAGGTTGGGTGTAGCTGGTTCATGTTGATTGGCAAGGGGAGTATCATCACCTTCACCTTCATTTTTATCTACGGGGATTTCTTCTTTTGGTAAATTACTCTCCAGCATTTCACCGATACCATCAGTGCCAGCAGCCACCAAAGCAGTGGTTGTATTGTCAGGCTCCTTTGGCTCATCTACCAATTCCTTCTTCCCACTCATAGGAACCTTATCCACAGGCAATTCAACAGGAGGTTTCCCAATTTCACTAGTGTTTTTCTCCTCTGAAGCATTGTCACTAGCGTATTGGTCCGGTACAACGTTTTTGCCAGGGCTTGGATCCTTTTTTACATTGTTTTGGTCCTCTGCCCTTTCTTCACAGGAATTTTGATCCTCCGGGGCCTCTGGATGGGACAATTGCTCCTGTTGGGGATCAACTTGCGCATCGACCAGGTCGTCCTCCGAATCTCGTCTATCACTAGCCGAAGCTTGTGACTGCTTCTCTACATCCTCCATAACTACCTCGCTTTTATCCATTCTGAAATCTACAGGCGAATATTGTTTTACTGTGTATGACAACGTTTTGCTATACGATTCTCCCTGCGAATAAAAATAAATACTTGAAGCAGACCTAAAATTATAAAATCTCAAGAAAACGACATGAACTATTGATCAGCTTGATCCTCCACTCGAAAAAACACTATCTTTTCACAGAAAGCAAACCCTAGTCTCGTCGACGCCAAGAAAAGGAAAGAGAAAAAAAAAACTGAAACTCGTGACTTGACGTTTCAAGACATGAAGAAAACTTAAAGAAAAACATGAATAGTTCATACGGAGGGCTCTTTTGAGTCCCTCAATTTTGTAAGTTAAATGCAGTACCAAGAAAAAAAGAAGCTACGTCTAGAGAGGCGTGCGTGTTTACTCAAGCGTTACCTGTGTTGGAGTTGGAGTGCCTTGATACCTATCGGCCAATCGAGAGAGAGAGAGAGAGAGAGCAGAAAAAGGCTTCGAAAGAGGTGGCTGCAATGGCTGGCCTTGGTAGGGTTTTTCTTCAGTTGCGGAGTTCACGGTATGAGGAGGCAGTGAAATTGGGTGAGATGAGATATGCCGACTGAAATAATAGAAATTGATGTCTATTATATGGGAAAGTAAAGGTGGATGTGGATACGCCGGCCGGAGGCTTTAAGACCGCTCCTAACTCCTAACTAATATTGACATATCCATGTCTAAACGCCGAGCGACCAAACGAATCACCCGGAAGAACCCTCCCACACACTACGGTGGCCTCTGCTTCTGCGGTTTCCTAGTTCAAAACAACGGGTTTGGCTCAACTAACATATTTCAATCTCCAAAATAACCCTATAATTGTCTCCTGAGTTTTACCCCATGCAAAAAAATACAGGGTGTTTATGTCATATCGCAACACTTGTAAAGTGTTGGTTTATCCTCGAAAAGTTTTGAAAGGGACGTTTTATTTTAATAAATTCCCCCCCCCCCCCCCAACTCAAATGCCTCACTTAAATTGTTTTCCATTTTTATTTTCAAAAAAAAAAATTTGTTTTCCATTTCTCATAAAAAAAAAAAAAAACAATGAATTAATTACAAATTATATCCCGAGAGATCATTTAAATTTTAATTTGTACCTTTAAAAATTAAAAATTTTAATTTATATCCTCAAAAATAAAAATTGTATTTGTATCAATACAAACCTAAAACTACCAACTGTCTAAAATTAAATGAATAAATTATATTTATATTCCCTCAAACTTATCGTTTAATTATTTGAACCTTCTCACATTTAAAATATTACTCATATACCTCTTGGCATTTATGCACGTGTAACATATAACTCTTTGTCGTTGATATCTGTTAATATAACCATTAAAAAATATGATTTCATCATAAAAAATAAAAAAATTATATTACCCTTTATTTTGTAAGCTCATTATATTCTAAAATTCAAAATCAAGCTTTTATAATTCGAATGTTCAATATAACGCAGATATTTATATAATATTTTTTATATCCAATGTAATACATCACTTAAACATAATTATTTGAATGCCCAATTGAAAAACATTTTTAGTTATATTTGGATTCTAAAGAGATGTAGGTATAATATTTCAAATATGAGGGGTTTAAGTGATTAAAAGACAAATATGAAGGGGTCTAAGTGTAATTTAATCCATGACTATTAGTTTGAGGTGCGCATTGATACAAATTTCTATTTTTAGAGGTATAAATTAAGATTTTATATATTTGAGAGTGTAAATTGAAATTCAAACAATTTTTTAATGTACAATTTGAGATTAACTCAAAAACAATTAAATGGACATGTAAGATTTGATTATGAGATTTTTATAACACACCGCAATATTTTTTTTCTTGTTACATCTCTCTTTTAGAATTCTTTCACTTAGGGTCTGTTTGGCAGCAGGAATGGAAAATAGAAGAGATGAAAAAATAAGAAGGATAGACTTTCTATCCATAAAAAAAGGAAAGACATTTTATCTCATTTTTGTTTAGTAAGATGGATAGAAAGTTGGAGAGATTATTTTTCTATTGTTTTGTATTTGAAAAAAAATGAAAAGAAAAAAGTCTTACACAAACTTAATTTATCATTATACCCTTACACAAAAAATCAAATTTTCTATTGCAAATAAACTTTTAAAGATTTTAAATTGATTCAATTTATTTCAGGGCACCAAATGGCATGGCGAGTCCTGTTTATGGTACAAAAATGTTATTTTTTTGTACTGTATCTCTATTTTTATTCAATAAAAATATGATATGTTTAAAATTATTATATTTTTATGTTTCATTTGTATTTATTATTTTTCAATCAATAATTATAAATCATCAAACTCAGCAAAATGGTATCATATCAAGCCAAAATCTAATATTACTAACACTTTTGATACAGTGTCAAATTTTTTCATTGGTGTTACTCAAAGTTGGGATTGCAGTTTGAGAATAGTCAATAAAAGGATAAAATATGGACCGTTACATAAAATGGACAAAATAGCTATTTATTTCAAAATTTCTCATGTGGCATGTTTCTAGAAAAATCCAGGAGTAGATATGAAAAATAGTGAAGGGTATAAATGTAATTACAGCAACCCCTACAATGAGCCCCAAATTGCTGTCTGATTTTCCGCCCATTTTGCACGGATACAAAATGGCGGGCGGAAGGGTTGTGCTTTCCACTTCATCCAATTACCAAACAAAGAAAACTCCTTTTTACGTTCTTATTTTTCATCCATCCCATTTTCATCCTTACCAAACGAGGGGTTATTTTCATCAAGATCACGCCCTTTTTCCTCATTAGCAGTGTTCAAATTTTTGATTAATCGTAATTTTCTATTATATCCGACCATATATATATATAGATATATTAAAAACCCTAATTCCCTAACCATATGATTTAAACTTAAAATAATTGCTATTGTATTTATGAAACAATTATGATAGATTAATGTTTATACTTTTTTGTGTTTTATTGTAATTGTTTTAGATTTTAGTGTTATTGGTTTATTGTGTTGTTAAATTGGTACATGTTATTTAATTGAATTGTTAAAATGATCCAAAAAATAATACCTACGAAAGTGTTCACCCAACTTCCTATCCGATTAATTTGACAAAGAATCGGGTAAAAATACCACACTTGATCGGATAGGATAGACCAAGAAAAAATTCTTTTTCAAAGTATCGAGTAAAAAGACAAAAGACCATATTTTTTACTAGTAAAATAAGGTAAACACCCCTATTCCGAATGAACTCTTGGCGTAAGTTGTGCAAACTTTAATGGGCTATGGATCCGGCACCGATAGCAGCCCACGGCACCACCACTGGTCCACTACCAACACCACAAAGTCCTCCAAACACCTTAACAATCGATGTCATGGCTCCCAATCTCATGTGCTATTCTGTCAAAATCTTTACTAACTAAAATGTTAAAGATCGTTTTGGTTAGCCCATCAACTGTCATTGATGGTTTGTTTGTTTTGGTGGCACAGAGAGATACCTTAAAAAGTAACGCTACTTATAAAATTAACATAATTTATTAACATGGTAATATGACAGTAATTCTTGAAATTTTTTATTGAAACTTTGTCATTAGACATATTATTATGTCAATTTTTTAGATCTCAATAACATTCCTCTAAATACTAGTTATCATGTGTAAATTTTTACCCATAAAATGCCCACTTCTTCCTTAGGCAGTAATTTTCATCGAAGATTTTGGGAGATGCAAGGCAAAAATGTTTTTGGGTTGATGTTGAAAGTTGATTCCCACCAATTTAGCTGGACATTCTATATATATTTCCACGATCTTTGTCTGACTCAACAAACCTTCATCAAGTTCAATTGTATCCTAAGGACATTCAGCCTTAAAGTTCTGTTTGCATTTGAAGAATGCCTATCTGGTGGCACTTACAAAGGTGAAGCAAATGCTTGTTCAAATTCCATCTGAGAAGCACTTCTTTGCTTCCCCACCTTAAAGTCTTCCGTTCCTTGATAGCTGAACATACTCCCCTTTTTGTCTTTATTTTTCCAAATGCATAAAAAGCAACTCTGATAGAATGTGCAGGTGGGTCATGCCTGTAAGAATAAAATTAAGTTTTTTAAATTTTTATTGAATTTTATTTTAATTATGTTTAAATTGTAAATTTCAATTGCAAATATTTTGGTCCTAGTTAGTGTATATATTCAAGAATAATAATAATTTTGACCTTAAATTTAGTTTTATGGCTATTCAAGCCAAACAATCAAATTTATTATAAATGTATTATTTGTAAGTTACACACCTGTAGGCTAACGGTCAAAAGGGAATTGAATAGTTATCATGTGTCTTTGAGAAGCACTTGCCAAACAATGGCTATATAAAGTCTTTGAGATATTTTTTTTTCAACAAAACGAAATCAACGGTACAAGAGTCCTTCTTATTGCTCATTTAAGTAGACTTTTAAATTGTTCATATCAATTCTTTTGACCTACCTTTTTCAATTAGCATCTATTATTTTTTTTTTGGGCAACTCGATTCGAGTGAAGTTCATTCCAACTTTCCAGTGGACGTGACCATTGAGAAGGAGCTGTTACGAGAGTCTTTGTTGGATCTTGGAGTCACTGGTGTCCGTCAGTACCCTCATGTGGAGATGCTAAGTTACTTTAGGACAGTGATCACACACGCCTTTCGGACGCGTAAGTCAGCTTATTCCAAATCAATTTATTTAATTTATATAAATTGTATATATTCATTTAAATCGTATATTTATTTTATGACATATTTATTTTACTCACATTATAATTCTAATATTTGTTGTTTTGGTCAAAATTCAGTAGCAATTTTTATTCATTCCAATTATAAATCTATGCTTAAAAACTATAATTATTTTTACAATGCCTTCCAATGTCCTCTCTTGTCACATTTTATTGGTTCAGAACTAGGTTGGGTGGCTGTCCATCATGACAAAAACTTCTCTACAAACAGGTAAAATTTTCAAGTAATGGACACTCATTTTCATTTCACTACTATC